TATTGTACTAAGACAAACTATAACACGCTAACTCTGACATTTACACTAGGATTGTGTGGCTGATATCAGATGGACAAAAAAGATAAGAAAGGAAAATTAGACAATAAAATATGTAGTTATTAGTATTCTTAACACTTCACCCTCTATATGTACATTCCCTTCTAATAAACCATTTTCCTTGTACCAAACCTGAATCCCCCCTTCATGTGTACTTACTCCAACTTGTTATACACCACAAATTATTGTTCCTTATTACTACATTCTCTTATATGGAGTCTCGTAATTCATTTCAATCCAACAAGAGATAATATGAATTTAATCCAATTTATTATACCTCTGTCTGTTCTATTACAAAATGTTATCAGAAGGGGTTTTTGGAGATTTTAGAAATTTTCACACATTTAAATCATGAGTCAGTTGAAGCTAGACCACCATTGAAAACCTGGAAGCACATTTATGAAACTTCTGACGTTTGGAACAAACTTGACGTACGCATCTCCTTAGGCTCATGCTTTACAGCAATCGTTCTACGAGTGTACTTTATAACAACTATAAACTCAATAAGTTGGAGAGCGTGCTGTGCGCCATCACATGTTGTAATTTGTAGACCAGGCCATTAAAAATGACGTGTACATGTACATGCATAAATATATTATTATTAATAACAACTTCCCTATCCTTTTGAGTTTTTAAAAAATGCCATTCATTAAACTTATGGTCTGGATAAAAACGATGAACATAGATACAGCTTATGAAATGAATAGTGTTTGTAATGCAATAAGGAATAACGGTCATTCATGTAAAGGACTTATTATGGCTATATGGTAGGCCATGTCTTGATAAAGTTTAAGAGATTCATTGTATATTGTGTTGATACAGAGAAGAAACACTAAAGTGGTATTCCACTTCTTGAATTGTCAGTGTGTTCATCTGTAAAGTAAATCGCAACATACAGCATCATACATATGTCAAAGTGAGAGCCCATTCCAGTAAATCGTGTCAAAAAGAATCATTGAAAATTGCTGACGATAATGCTGAACTGAGCGTTTACTGTTCCAGCGTAATAGGAATTTTTTCCTGACAAATAAACTGATGAATAGGTGTTACACAACTTTTTGTAATGTGTTGTTTCGCAGGACGAGTAACGAACGTCTGTGGGAGTATTACCAATGTCAATGGTTGAAAATATCCGTCCAATGATGGTCATACACGCAATGGTTTTTGGATGCTTAAATTCTGTGGCAAACAAAATCATTCGCTAATTAGTGTGAATCCTTTATTAGGTCTGTTTTCCGGTTGCTAGATAGTTTGACTCCATCAAGTGATGGTTAAAGATACAAATGATTACGTGGCGTACTACATGAGAACGATATTCAACCATGAATAGTAGCCTGAATATAGCAATGTGGAGAAACGACTTGCCAACCACAACTAAACTTATATATTTAACCCTTTAATGGTTTCGACAATCAGTAGTCAACAGTTCGCGGTAAACGAACTGTGCCCTATTCATTTTTCTTATGCTATACACATCGTTCTCCTTCTTTATGACTTTTGAATAAACATTTCTCCTGAGTTTTCTTTCGATTCTCACAATATGATGTCTTACCATTGATGATGCAGCAAATTTTAGGCTTTAATAATATCTTGCACAACAACTCAATCAAACTTAATATAACTAGAGACTATTCGTGCAAAAAATCAGAAACACTCAGAAACTGTCCATTTCAATTATAATAAGGCATGTCTACGTGGGTCTCTTCTTATTTCTTTCTTATCAGTTGTCAACTTTTTACCATATGTTTTACTGTCCAACCATATACTTTCAAATCCTTATTCACTGTCTTAGATTATTATGCACAACTACCAACCTAAAAATCCCAACATCAAGATGGGACAGGAGGGTTAAGCTACTGATTGACTAGTATTGATTACGATGGCGATGATTTAAGCTCCCATGTTTGCGACGAAGAACATGTTGTTTGTGTTCAGCTCTTGATGATCGGTGGTCGGATGACTATTCAATGAGATTGAGAGCGTTTTCTCGTGTATATTGTTTTGGAACCGTGCTTTATACCTTATGTTGGTTTTGTTGTTTTATCAAGTCGTCTAATCACATTCATTTCCACACACTTCAGCACAGGTATGACAGTTGGCATTCGATAGCAAAAAACAGAAAGAGTAATAAATAAACGAAAACTACGTTACTAGAGTCATGTGAAAACCTAGACAATATATATATATATATATATATATATATATATAAATTTCTTGAAATCAGTAGATATTTATCCTAGTCTACTCTCAAACCTTCTATTATCTGAGGGTTGTTCTCTCATTGAAATTCTTAACACTGCTTTCAGTTTATATGCTTTTCTGAAGTTTCTTCACTGATTATTTTCAGGTGTGCGTGCTAGTGGACATAACTTTACTATTCACATCTCAAAACACTAGCTTTTATCAAACATCTTTAATGTTAGTTCTGCTGTCTATGTTATACTCTTTTTTTAAGCACACGCAGAGATGTTCATCCACCAAGGTTACGGTTTGTACAATGTGTGTTTCTGAACAGATTATAACAACATTGAACTGACAGTACAGTACCAACATAAAAACTCGCTTATCAAGTTGTTGATACATCCATATGAGTATTCTAGCATAAATTTTCGATGACTTTCTCTTTTTAATAACTTTAACAGCATCTTATCTGTCAGTCCATGTTACAAATTACTGACCATGCTCCCAATAATGGCTTGTACGTTCTATATATTATTTGTAGTAGTACTAGTGACATTCATATTGCTATGTACGAAAGTTAGGCCCCCTTGTCTCCCTAACCACTATATCCTATTATCACAGTGAATACTTTATTATCTGTAATATTTCCATCTTCAATTTAAGCTGGAATTCCTTGCGTAACATATCGTCGGATGGCGATAATTCACTATTCAAAAGATTCCTTCGTGCGAAAATGTTTGGGCCGAAAATCACAATTACATGGATAATTCCCAATTAAAACGAGTCGTCTTACGTCGCGTAAACCTCCCACACACATGGTAAGCAAATCGATAACTTTTTACATAAATAGCAACAAAGTCCACATGATAGGTAGGTGAAAATAATTCGGAAAACAATACAAACAAAATATTAAGAAACAACGTAAACTATAAACAAAACACTCTAGCTTAAGTATAGCAAAAATGAAATTGATATATAATACGAATGTGAGGGACACTTAATATGAACTATATATGAATTAGTCGAGACGTACAACGAAGTGTAAAGCAATGCAAACTGTACGACGGAATGTAACAGAGTAGACTAGGAGAATCGCAGACGAATCAGCGAATAAGAATGTAACCAAATATAATTTGAACAGCCAAGACATCCGTTAATGAGTTAGTATAGAATGGTAGGAATGTACGACGAAGTATAGTTGGTGTTTTCAGGTTTTTTATACAAGTCTACCTACAATTGATCCATGATCTCAACTATTAAAATTACTATAATATCAACAAAACTGCTTCTGATAAACTCTATTGTTTAATAATTTGTATATGACTATCGAGTGATGGTTATTTGTAAATGCCCGAATGCTTCTTCTTTCTCACAGTCTTGTTGACACAAATCGTCATCAACTACTAGCATAGATATATATCTATAAACTTCAAACACCTTCCATTATATCATATGTCAGTAAACGGTCATTTATTTGTGGATTTACGAAAATGATGAATTCCTGTATTCTGTAAGAACTAAAAATTCTGGCTTTCTAGTGGCTTATGTCATTCCTGGATGGTTTGTAATGTAGAATAATATTATGTGCAATTTTTACGTTTTAATATCACTAATGAACATTGAGTGGTTTTTCAACAGACACGTGCTTGAGTTTCTCAGTTTATGTTCACACTACACAGTTTATGAAAGTGGTTTTCCTATTTCTATGTACGTATTAACCATGTGTTAGAAACTTCTTAAAATGAATTTTTTTTAAAATTGTTAACCTTTGAATGATGTCCAGTTCAACATTTGAAGTCTGAAGTCCCACGCTAAATGTGTAACGCTGAAGAGCATTTTTGGCCAGTTCAACTGAAGAACGTTTCACATAATCTTTCACACTTTTATTCATACCCATTTAAAGCAGTTCATCTCTCAATCCAAAAGGTTGAAGACACTCTGGAGCGTAACCAACATCTGGCTACGAAATCAGTTTGACAACTTAAATTCAAGTCTTATGAAGAGCTCCTCCAACTACTGAACTTTTACCTGTTAGAATACAGGCGTCTTAAAATCGACTTTCTAATGGTCTAAAGCATCCTAAACACTTATGTGCTTCCCCTCAAACGCCTACATAAGTTTAGTCTAAATACAAAACCTAGGGGTAACATCCAGGAACCAGAATCACTATACAGCAGAAAGGAATGCATACTCACCTTCTACCCCTTGGGAGTGGTCAAATGTTGGAATTCGCCGCCGGCTGGTCTAGTCCAAGAGACCTCCCAGGAGTCCATTAAGAGAAAAATTGACATATTCTTTAGGATTAAGAACAGCATCTAGCTATAATTAACTAATTCTCTTTTATCTTCCTTTTATCGTTAATATACCTGAGTTCTTGTCCGGAGGCACCGGTGATCCACTCTTGCTAAATATAGAATCCAGTTAAGCGAAAGCTTTTATTCCATCCAGAACTACATGATCCATTTGAACCATTTTAATTCTAGTGACTTTAAGCAAAACTTTGATTATTAAAAATACCAGAAATGCATCTTTAAACAGAATTTTGGTTTCATGCTAATGGCTCGAAGTTGACCTTGACCGCTATCACATAGCAATAATATCGATTTAATTAAACAATATATTTGTAATATACCAATGAATAGAAAATTAGATTTTCTGACGTTTTGTGACTTAGTATGAGTCACTCCGCCAAAGAATAAATAACCAAACTCACTAATAATATCGATTGTTTCATCTTGTTTTTTCACACTTTTTGTGTGTACGCTTTCAACGCGTGGGTACTCAAACAAGCCTGAATGCGCGGTCTGTTCATTCTACGCGAGAAAAGTGGTGTTTTGTTTAGGAAAAATCCTGCAAATAATCCAAGAGGGTAAGTTTTCAATCTGAATTCAAATCCAAAAAACTCTTCCTATCCAAAACTTCCAGGCATCTGCTGTTTTTGTAATAGGTTTTGATTTCGTTTGAAATTCGATAATTGTCATATCAAATAGAATCTGGTAAAAAAGTAACACTTGTTAACTGCTTATGATGAGCAGTATAAGAATTTTTCATGCGGAGGATTGCTTTAGTTGTTGAAACATTGGATCTGATATCGATCAGAATTTAACATTAAAATCCTCGATATATATAAGTGTATATGATTTGTGCTAGTTTTATTTCCTCTAGTTATCAGATACTACAATGTCATTAGCCTTTTCGTCTAATTGTTGTTTATGCTCGAGTACTTGTTCTAGTGATTTTATCTCGGATGATAGAGCGTGATGACTATGACTGACTTATTGACTGATACCGTATGGATGCCCGTAACTATCACCCAATCAATTCCTACACTATCTAACGTTACTTGTCGAGTTACTGGGTGGTCTTGCATATCTGGTGTCTCAGTAGTTTTTCTTTTGAATAAACGAAAATGCGTTATCCAAAGCTCATATGTATATAGCAATAACACAGTGGGAAAAATGGGAGTTTCATTAGTTGCTCATTATTGGTCCTTTTTTGCTCAAGATATTTATTCCTGATATTCGTCATTTGATAGTCTTGATAACGGATGGGATACAGTATTTTCACTAGTGATTGCATGAGTATCTTGGTTAGTACAAATAAAATAGTTGGACGTTATAGTCGATTGAATTTATATTTTGTCGTCCACACTGCCTTGTTTTTTTGACTCTTTAGTAGGTATTTGTTGGATCAGCTTGTAGCCCATATATCATAAAATGCATTATCAGTATATATCGATATTTCAGTGGCGTTGCAGGAATCTGTATTCCAGTTGTATCATTAAATAAGTTTCATAGGAATATATAACTTTTATAAATTTTAATGCCCATTGTTGTTTTCTTGTTAGATTGTTTTATATAAACTTATAAAAAGTCATTTCATCTACAGACTTTGCTTTATTTCACTGATTTCATGCAGGATAATACCTCTTTTTATTTCGCATGATTTAGTGAAATTCTTTCTATATGCTCTTCGAAATCTGATTCAACTGATAACGGTAGATCCACAATATCAAATCAGATATCTGCTTATCATTTTTCTCCGGGCGGCTATAAATTATACTTTGCATTAAATTCAGGTGATTTATACTGCTTGGACTTTGCGAAGAACTGGTAAGCCTCATTCATCATAAACGTTTGACAGCAAATGTCTTTAGGTATCAATTAATAGCGTCGTTGAATCGTGGTATTACATATATATGTTTATGCGAACCACGTGGATATGTCCTTCTGGGTTTGAATGATAACAGCATCAGAATCTTAGACGAGGGTAACATTTTCGCCATTTTCTGGTTTTCCTGTGGAAGATGTGTTGCTAACTTGTTGCTTTGTTTCTCTTCAATATAAGGAAATTTTTTGGATGAAAATCATATCAGTGCACGATATTCGCTCATTTGGAAGTGTAGTGCCGTTGTCCTATACTCCCATATTATCCAAAAACAGTCAATCTATGTCCCAGAAAATAGTCATAATTTCGACTGAAAATGATATGACTTGGTGGTTAATCATTACAAACAATTCAAATTTTTTTGTCAAGTCCTAACTATCTGAATTTCAAAACTTTATTTTATGTTTTATGCACGTGATTCCGATAGGCTTTACTATTCCTCATTATATAAAGTGTGAAATTGTGCAGCTTTTAATATTAAGTATAAATATATCCTTCGCGAATGATATATTTTCGTATTAAAGTTGCATAATATCGTGACATGCCTTCAAAGAACCCATATTCTGGTGTAGTTCGATCAGTTCAGTACTGAATACGAGCAGCAGTATTGTCTAAACGATTTGAGCAAAAAACGTATATCGCATTAGCTAAAACGTGTTAGATATCTTATTTCAGTGGCTTTTTGGACAAGGCTGTGGAGTACACACTGGTTGGTACTACGTTTTTACAACCAGCTGACTAACCTTCAGTAAAATAAAACTTGTGTCTTGAATTTGGCTTCTAACCACTATCAGAATATTTAATCACTATATAGAAAGGAAGTAATATCAACGAACTCGTGCACCGACAGAGACCAGATATGGTTACTTTGAACACCCATGAAGCGAAAAGCAAAATCTGTCCATTTATTACGATTATATTTTATCTTTAGAGTCCGGAAAAGAGATTAATTCTTTGAATGGTCATACGTACAGGATCTCTCATATATCAGTTCAACCAGTTTCTGGTCGTTATGGATTATCTACTGCCCTAAGTGAAACAATATTATGGGATCTCGACACTAGCACATGTCGTTGCAGGTTACATATTGGCCAAAAAGTGAACATAGTATCAGTGAGTTTATTTCACTATTTCAAAAGTTATGTTGTAATTGATAGACTTTTGTTGTTATTTCCAAACGTCCAGATTATTTAACTGTAGTGGAGTTGCTAGATTATAATTTTTAATATCTATAACTGAATTTTTCAGGACTTCCGATTCCCATTTATGTATGTTTTCTCCGTATATCTTGAAATGGTCTTAATTTTTTAAAAAATTCTCGATTTTATACTTCACATAAAAAGTCGATTTTTCCAACGTTCCCATTATAATGTTAGGAATGAACGGGACTGTTATATTTTTATAGTTGTACATTCAGGTTCTTTATAAAAGTTTATGTCCTGTAGCTACATTGGTTGTCATCTTATGTCCAGCCATTAGAAAAGGTGAGTAAAATTCACTTTTTGTATGATCGCATTTTATTCGAAACCAAAGAGCAGTTTTACGCTGTTTATAAGTACGCTTCACCATGTGTCATGGTCTTAGTATCGTAAAATCCATGAAATAGATGATTTGGTTTGTTTTTATTGTCTACTAATATTTTTAATTTTTAGTCGGATATGTATTGTTCTGCCCAAAACTACATAGTATTTACTCATTGAACTAACTCTAGATGTACCATTAGTCTGTGAAAAAGTGTGAACGTCCATTGATGGATTTTATGTTTCCAAAATTGCATAAATGAACTGAAGCTAACACTATGCTATTAATAACAAACAGTAATTTTTATACATTGAGGGGTAAAATTATATGTGTAAAAGTCTCAGCGATTGAATTTTAAGTAAATTTAACTTTTCGCTTGTCACTATAGTCCAAACGTTTTAAAGGTAATACTACACTAACTCGGTGCCCAACTTTTGTAACCTATTCGTTCAAATTTAAGTGGAAATTCTTATAAAGTGATTTTCATAGTTGTTGCTTCGTTTACATTTTAGGTAACTTTCATTCCACCTCGTGGTGAGCAAATTATATCCTGTTTTCAAGATGGATCCATTTACGTTTGGAGTACAGATTCTCTTCAGTGTTTGTTAAGGCTTAGTAACAGTGATTATCCGAATCAACTGTATAGAACAATTACATTTACCAGGTTTGAGTATTTCGAATTTTGTCAGTGTACAGAAGTTTTGAATAGTGCTGTCTATATGGATTTAAGCTTTATATATAAAAAACCTCTCTTTATCAAGGTTGTGTGTCGAGGATTTTTCATCTGAGGCGTCATCTAAAGAGTCACGGGAAAATTATTGTAGATATTAAAATCCATCCTTCAGATAAGTAAACTTGTAGATTTTTATTTGCAGTACAAGCAATCTTAACTTAACGAAATCGAAAATCCTTAAGTTAAGCATAGTATTTTTATTGTGCGCAAGTGAAAATATAAATAATAATAACGGACACAAAATTGGAATTATTCATGATCACAGTAAACATGTAACTACACACACAGCTAATTTTTTTCTAAACCTGTATTCATATCTATCTGTGACCCATCCAGCCAACATCTATTTTTTTTAACATTTCAGTAATAGTTGATCACTATTAAAACCGTAGTTGGTATGTAAGTTGCCGACTCTAGGACTGGTTGAGAAAAGTAGAGAGGTGGTCAGTGTATGACATGATATCGTGCTATGAAAGAAAGCTGTGCAGGACTGGCTTCTGTTGGCTCTTTACGACTCCCTGGTTGAATTCCTAGAGATGGTGCAACATAGTGGCTAGAGACATTGTCAGATATGGCCCAGAATAGAAGCCAATTGCGATCCTGCTGTAACTTTATTTTACTTTCTTCACAAAAAATGGACGTAACTTCTTTAACTGGAAGAATTCTTTCTGGTTGTACCTTTGCTAACTGAACCTCCTTTCCCATTATTATTACTTCACTATCATACATGAATTTCTGTTCTTTATTGTTCCACTTTTTTCTTGTACGCACCTTACATTCTTTATCTCTTCCCATTCTCATTGTTATTGTGTGGTGCATATATATCTGATGACCCTTTGTACTAACATTTATGTTTTCAAATAAATAACTAAATAAATTACTCACTAGATGGGGTTGCGATTGTTGTTTGTCAACTGAGTACTTTGCACAAGTCTGGAGACAAAATTCAGTTGTTTGTGCCACATAATTCAGTGGTCAGGTGTTATCTGTCTAATCATAACAGCTGCTAATTCAGATAAACTAATAAAATCTAAAGTTACAATTGATTGATCACTGCGTGGTGATCAGTGTCAGGTCTTTCTTAGTTCAGATTGAATCCTATCGATCACCACCCAGTAATCAATCAATTGCAAATACATCTCAGTCCTACAGGAAGTCAGCCACGGCCCGTATAGCTCAGTGGTAGCGTCTCTGATTGTGAAGCTAGGAGACACGAGATCAAATCCGTCAGGGAGTATCAGTTCTCCCAAGATTACAAGTGCACCTTGCTGGTGAGTGCCAAGTAGCGCGAAACCTAGGTTCAGGGTTTCCTGTTGACTACCTACAACTACCATCTTAAAATCTAAATCTCACTATTTTCATTCGTTTTTTGAATTTTTAATTGTTCAGCTACGTGTTTCGTCTTTTATCATTACTTTTTTTTCTAGCACAGGTCATTATTTATTTGCAGCTGGTCGTTCACCATTTGTCTACTTATGGGATTTAAAAGGATATGTAAACTGTTTAAGTCAAGACAGTCCAGATGTAGATAATTCCAATTCAAATAATCGGTTTTTACGAGAGTTAATTAAACTTCCTGAGTCAATTAAATCAGTTCGTCGAATTGAATGGATCCCTAAATCTTGTTTGATTGATTTTAACCAATTTTACCATGATTCTATGATATGTGATGAGGTAATTGTTATTTGATTAAGTTATAAAATTTTTGCTTGTATTCCAAATTCTGTTGTTATTTTGATCAGAATTGTAAACCAAGATAAGCTTGTTAACATTAAACGAAATGTCAACGTCATATTACTTTATATTCGTCATTCTTTTTAGGAGACTTTGAAAACCTATATATATATATATATATATATATATATATATATATATATATAGAGAGAGAGAGAGAGAGAGAGAGAGAGAAAGAGAGCAGTCGATTGGTTGGCATTCATGATATATCTACAACTTAAGGGACCTAAATTTTATTCTAAGAAATTTGAAACTACGTCACTTATTGTTGCGGTTAGTGATGTTACCATTATTTTATATGGATTATGACCGACCTGTATGAGCACTTAGTAGTAAATAATATCATTTTTGGTGGAGCTACGAATCTTCTCCACCATCTCATAATATCATTTTATATAGTTCTTGAAGCTGGTTGAATTTTTTTTGACGAAACTGCATCTTTTGTTGTTCATCAACTTCCTTTTTACTTTAGTTATCTGGTCTACTACTATTACTTGGCACTGATAAACGTTTACGTGTTTTGATACGAACCCGCGAAAATTGTAGAAAATCATTAGCTTGCACAGAAAATTTGCCAAAGCATCAACTGTCAAAGAACTCAACTCCTATCTATTGGAAATGCTTGTTTACATTTGGATGTGGTTCATTAGAAGACCCACTGTTATCATCATTTAGTTTACCGGCTTACAGTATTTTAAATCTCTCTGATTGCCAGGGAAAAGAACAGAATAAATCTTTCAGTTGTCATTCACTATTGGCTATTCTTGATGATCATGGCTTATTACACATAAATGATCTTTCAATAGTATTAAGCTTCCTCAATAGTGTAAGTTATCCATTTATAGTTTATTGTCAAATTTTACTATTTGCGTGTTTTTACTGTATAAATACAGCGAAACTTGCTGGTGAGGCTTATTTCAAAGTTAGAGATAAAAATTATATTGTATTCATACAAATACTATGACGAACCCTAATGTTAAAGTCTATATATATTTTTCGTTTTTCTAGGGGTGACACTGTCCCAGTGTATCAGTTGATCAAAAGACGTCAAGTTTTTAAACTATTAGGTTATTCGGTGAAAATTATTTATTTAAGTACTGCGTGAATTTGTCCTCGCAACTTAGCGATTTTCAAGCTAATTTTTAAAAATACTAGTTTGAGACTTAAATAAAGGATGTTATAGGGATCTGAGCTACGTGAATCATAATCATGTTGCTATCTACTCGGTGGGACTGATCTTATGTGTATCTGTATGGCTGTTTATACTCACAATTCTTCTTCTTCCGGTCTCTGACTTTCTGTCTTTTTACCCATTCATATAAGCGTGTGCTTACTTATCTGTCTGCGGATAGCAATATTTTACTAGAACTTTCAACGTTTTTCTCGGTAGAAGTTATTAGTGAGCGTATGATTATCCAATACACTAGAAACATCACGGGATTACATCCAACTAGGACACAACTTATATCTAACGCACCTTGATTTTCAGTCATCTTTCTGCTACCCTTAATCCTCTATGGAATGTTTTTTGAAATTAAAAAATCTTCATAAACTGATGTGTGGGCGAGAATGATCATAATTGGTTGTCTGCTTAGTCAGACATGTAGATAGTCTGACAGGTGTCGGATGAGTTATATATTCCCTTATCCTTATTACCGTGACACACTTATTATTGATTATTCATTGTTGTGGTTTGTGTCGTTTTTTGGTGTGGAAATGTGTTTACGTTGTGGTAATGCTAATTACGTGTTATGTTATGTTGACGTCCTGTAGAATAGACACTGGGAGGGATCTAGTGTAGATAATCGTTTAAAGTAAATTAACGTGCCATACGTGTAAACCAAACCGTTATAACTTTAGACGTAGTAAAATCAAGCGTTATAACATAAACTTAAGAAATGTAGTTAACAAATATAATCGCATCTATTCATTTGTAAATGCTGCTTTGAGGTATATAATTTTGAATGTTGCTTGGTAATATTTCCACGCTTTTCGTGTAAATAAATTTGCTAATCCTGTTTGTTGTTATCCATTTCAGTCATCAATACCTGTAATTAAAGTGAAAAATGAGATTTCAAATGAAAAGTCTTCCTTCAAGCACATAGAAAACAATACAAGAAACGACTTTCCAACTTTTAAGATGTCTAAAAGTTATAATAAACATATATGTACAACAGATTCAGGTACATTACACAAAAAAGACCCTGTAAGTTCTTTTCAAATTTGTAATCGTTGGTGTTACCGTTCTGTCTACACCAGGTGATTAGTGGTCTATTTTTTATTAAAGTATCCTTCGTTTTTGATATTCTGTATATCTCGAAATTCCACAGTTTCCCATCATAAACCGACTAGCTATATAACCTCATTATGGACACAGTTATCGTCCTGTCTGTGTGTTTGACATTATTTTGCATAGTGACTTGTGAATAAATCTACGTTGTGTATATCCTGATTGCTCAAGTTGGTCGTTAACAGTCTTGATACATCTGAACTATTTCAACACAGGAAACAAGCCAGTCTAGTATTTTAAAATTTTGTAGAGTTTGCTCAGTAAATTTCTAAACCTAATGTTTTAAACAAATTGAGAATCCTTTATGTGAATGCTTTCTATCCGGTTCCATAGATGCGTTGGCCGTTGTACATAGTTTAACTTGAACTTTAGGCGAAGTTCTATAAAATGTTTGTGTATGTATTTCATTATTGTTTATGCTGAGTTTTCCTGTACCTTACTGTAATTCCTGATTATGAATAATTAGATATTCTTTCAGTACGAAACTGGATCTACATAAACTAGGTTGATCGGACAACCGAAACACAAAACTTCAATGATAGTCCGCAACACAATAGAAGACAATATGAAGTTAGGAACTCAGAAATAAGTTTTATAATGCGATAACTTTTCGTATACATAGACCAATACTGACCGTAAGACAGTGTAGTTAGCAAACTAAAAGCAATAACAACTAGTCAATTAACGGCAAATGTCATCGTAGGGATAAAAACTGAGAAAACATCACAGTCATCCCTGTTCGTATGAACTATCATTTGTTAACAAGAATTGAATAACCTGGTCTTCCTAGCATCGCCACTTTTTGAATTAAAATTATCTGTCTCATAATACCGGTTTCGATTTGAAGTCCACCTCTTCTGAAATAATGAAAAAAATAAGTTGGGTAGTTTCTTGGTTCTCTATCAATATTCAGATCACAGATAGCCTTTGCTTGAGGACAAAGCAATGACTGAGTGGATTCGAGCCATTTATACACGGCATCTCAACACGAGTTGACGGCTGAGAGGCCAATTGACAAGGTGATCATTGACATTGTCTGTGATGTATTTGTAAGATACTGGGGTGGTATCTGCTGACATGTTTACTGACTTTACCACCACATCACATTTGGTCCCTTGAAACATTGTGCACCACAACACTAGCCTGTAGATTGTAGAGTTCTGGTCTTCTCTTTTTTTAGTGACCTTTTCCAAAGGTGTTGTGGGGAGGTGAGTTATGACAACTTCAAACCATGAGACGATTCATAATGTAATTCATGAACTTCGAGACTACCTTTTTACCCTGACTAAATCAGTGCACTGCTATGGTTGATATTCGTAAACTGTTGGTCTTCGGCAACAACATTTCGAGTGGTTAATAGATGCGATGCAGTAACTTAGAGTTAGTGGTTGAAAACGTATTAGCAGAAAAAGGGTAGTGAAGAAAAGCTTCATCAATTTTCACAATCATCGCTCATCATCACTGTTAAGATTTTCATTGTAGTAGAGATCGTCGCAATAATAGATTCCCCTTTTGTAGTGAGATACCCTCCTTTTAGGTGAAATAGGACATCTGGCTGACGAAAATCTCTCCGTCATTTACTGGGTGTTGGAATCGTATCTTAGTAGTGTTATCGCTCATCGCTTTGGTCGATTCTCAGAATGCTAGCACTTCAGATTTGAAGCTAAAGGCTGCTAGCATGGTCTTGTAGTCAGTCAATAATGTGAGCTTTCTGTCGTATATCTTGTGAGAATGACGCTCCGCAAACATTCACTATTTGCCGATAGCTTTCACCCTCTGCTGTCCGTGTTCTGGATGCGTACATTTCCACCTTTTCCTCTATATTAGGAAATTCGTGTAAAATGGCGGTCCCCACCCTGTTTGTAGACGTCTTCAGATCCTAATATGTTAGAAGAAGACTAGATACCTGTGATGCTTTTAGTTCTCCAAAGCTGGTTGACACTACCTCATTCAGTCCTACCTAGTATTCTTTACGAGAAAATAATTAAGTGGTAGTATAGTGAACGAGAACACGGTTAGGGAAAAACGGATGCATTTAGCACAAAAAGTACAGTCTATTTCAACAATATCTGAATACCATATATTAAATCGTCAATTTGCAAAATATTCATGCATCAAATCAAACTGGACTGTTTCTGTTGCAAATACCAATCCATTGTCTCCCATTCCATTGTCCATGCATTTCCTACAAATTCCATTTTGTTCTTGCTCTTCTTTTCTTGATCTTCTCCATTTTCTGCTGCCAGACATTACATCCTTTTAACGCACGTTATATACTACTTATATCAATATAAGTAGCTCACACCACAGTAGTCATCTCTTAATGGTAATCAATAAGTGTCAAGTAGGCGAGTGGAGTTGGTACATCATGTGATACAAGCATTTCTTTGATAGCTTTAAAACGGTACTTTACAAAGGGTCATATTTTCTATATTTTGTTTACTTAATTCCAATTAAACCAGAAGTAGGAACTAGAATGGTGCTGACAGCATTAGATTAAGTTGATTATTATCCTAAACCGTCAAGCATTTAACCTAACCAGAAAAACTCTCATTTTTGTGAGTGAATATGTGCTGATCTATTTACATTTTTCTTACCTCAGATAATTTTAAAGATATTTGCAACTCATAGCTTTCACTATACTCTGGGTCATTGCGCGTTTAAATATACGCGGAACGTACGAGGTTTAATCACCCTAATATATAATCACACCTTTCATCGAGAATTCGAAAATGTCAAACAACAGTCTTATTGTTCTTATATGCAGTTGGTTTCAAATTATCCTGTCATAATTCTTTTGTGTTTTTCTTTAGTGTGACTTAGCACGCTTCGATAAATACACCATCTGTTCTTTTCACTAGACTGTGGGAAATATTGACGAAGGCTTCAAAACTTCAGGAGTATTTAAAAATTGTTTAACCCGTTCTATACTTCTAGAAATTAATTTTTAAAACTGTTCGCATCGTCAACTGGTAACATCCCAGGAGAAGGATATCGTACATATTTTAGTAAAGTGCTTGTTGTGTAGAGTAAATAATTTATTACAGCTATCTATGTTGAAAGTTATCAGTCTTAATGATAAAAGTAATCAAAACTCTTAAAACAGAAGTGAAAATACATAGGTGTAGAGATTGACACTAAGAAGTTATCTGTAAACTACTTCAAATTCTAATAATTAATCCGGGCTACCCAACAGCTTATAAATAAATTCACTCATTGCTTTGCTGTAGAAATTATATTTTTACATAATTTGCCAAAATGGTCTAATTTATTTATATTCGTTTCTATCTGTCACTGTTCTTAGACTAATGGTTTTTTGGATCGCAAACGTTTACGTTTATTACTTAGAGAGTTTGGGAAATTTCCAAATAAATATCGGTAATCTAACTTATTTTAAAATTTTACATTATTTCAAATGTTGATCATATAAAATCTAGTTTATTTTGACTGTGTTTTAAGATTATTGATAGAATCCTCATACAGAAATTAATCAGAAAGACTTTAATTTTACGAAGTAAACAATGTCAAAAATAGAGCGCTTTAAATAATCCATCAGAGTTAAGTTCGATACTGAAATATTACTTACTTATTTACTTTCGCTTGTTACTTCCAATGGAGCATAGGCCGCCTGACCAGCATTCTCTAATCTACTCTGTTCTTGGCCATCCTTTCCAGTTCTATCCAATTTTTGTTCATTTTTCTCATGTCTATCTCCATTTCTTGGCGTAATGTGTTCTTTGGTCTTCCTCTTTTCCCGTGGCCTTGAGGATTCCATATGAGAGCTTGCCTTGCGATGCATTTGGGTGCTTTCCTCAATGTGTGTCCTATCCACTTCCAGCGCTTCTTCCTGATTTGTTCGTCCACTGGTATCTGGTTTGTTTTCTCAATAGTAAGTTGTTGCTGATCGTGCCTGGCCAACGGATTCCAAGTAGTTTGCGTAGACAGTTGTTAATAAACACCTGTATTTTCTGGATGATGGCTTTCGTAGTTCTCCAGGTTTCCGCGCCATACAGTAGAACTGTCTTGACATTTGTATTAAAAATTCTGACCTTGGTGTTGGTTGACAGTTGTTTTGAGTTCTGGATGTTCTTCAGTGGTAAATATGCTGCTCTTGCTTTGCGGATCTGCGCCTTCACATCTGCATCAGATCCACCGTGTTCATCGATGATGCTGCCCAGATATGTAAAGGTCTTTACATCTTCCAAATCTTCGTCAAGTGTGGTTCGATTTTTGCATGTTGTGTTGTTAATCTTGCTTTTCCCCTTGTGTATTTTGAGATCTACTGCTGCTGAGGCTGCTGCTACACTGGTTGTCTTCTGCATTTGTTGTTGAGTGTGCGATTGATTGAAATCGGAAAATATTGTCACTGATACTGGTTGGGAAATCTGAAAGTCCTTGGTTCAGTGTTGTGGAGCTTGGTATTAATCCATCTATGAAGTGATAGGACGATGCAGTTATTGTAATGAAAACGACGCTTGGATTGCAGCTACGGCATATTTATCCAAATATTGTAGATCAATTTACTCAAACTTAAGTGTGTTGTTTTCTGCATCGAAATTTCTGTTTCCATTTTAATGCTATATTACTTTACTACTTTTTCTTTCGTGTAACACTACGAATGTTATTTAAGCTAGTATTTTTTAAGGATACTAAAAGACATGGAGTTGTTCACCGTTACCTATAACGGTGAAAAAATTGGTCTGTTCTGTATGTTAGGCCTGTTTTTTAAAGTTACTTGAATAATGAAAAGACTAAAATGGAATACAGAAAAAAAAGCTGCCCACTTTCATGTCAATAATCTATCTAGTTGTCGATCATATAAAGTGAATAGAAAGCAGAAGTAATAGAAATGAAGAAATCACCGCAGTTAAGTGACATTCTATTTCGTTATGATTTATTGGAAGGGATTGTCTCTTAAGAGTTCGTCCTTGATAGGATCAGTGATTGACACCTTAGGCAACACAGTTCGGGGAACCGCTTAATTCCCTTACGGCTAATCTTTCGTCTATAAATCGATCACATCTGGAATACAATATTGCCCTTGGCCCACAAATACGTCTCAAAATCCAAATTTATGTGACTAACCTGAAGGGAAGCAACAAATTAGTATATAACTATCTGGTACTGAAAGTCTTTAGATATAGTGGCCAGGAACTACTAGTGTAACGAATTAAGGTATCGGCTAATGTTAGTAAAATAAAGAATGGTTTCCTTAAACCCATCTTAGTTGTTGATTACTCTTCTTTGTAAGAAAGTGCTAAAATACTCTTGTGATAACTGTTTAGAATTAAACTAACTAACACAGTTTTCAATATGCTAAAGCATATTATCATTTAATACTTTACTGAAGTTCTGGAACATCAAATATAGGAAACTTGGGTTGATCTTATGCATGATAAACGATTGTCCACTAATTATATACCATTCTGTATGTCTTAGAACTCAATAATGTTTGCTAAAAGACTTGAATATAGTTGTCTGTTTGTTAGTGAATGAACTTGGCTTCATTGAACTGGAGGTTTTTTGATACTACATGGTTTTCAGGAGTCTTTCAAAAACCATTATTACTGAAAGGCTAATACTTTCTTATAACAGCTTAGATAAGGATATTTTATGGTGACGGTAACGGGTAGTATTCGTCAAGCTTTTTTGTTATTATGTTTGTTTCACTGTTTTAAAGATGTGATAATGGAAGAGGTAGCAGTTTACATTCGAATTTCCATTGGATTCCCTCCCTACAGATGCCATGATATGCCTACATTACGCGAATAATATAGTATTTCTAATATCTTGTTCCGAACTTTGATAATGTTGGACATGGAGTTTTCATCCACGTATTGAACTAGGTTACATTTTGAAGGGTTTGGAAATAAGAAACGGAATGATTTCAGATGTTTTCTCACTTTGCATAGTTTAGAATGTCACACAACTTCTGATTAGGTGATTGATCATGAAATACAGAGACTAGTGTCGAATTATTGTTTCCAATTGATCTTAATTAGTTTACAGTTAACGAACTAAACTGAACAATACTTTCGGTGTATGATTATGGTTAAATGACAGGATCAACGTTCACGTACATGGAAAATATGTCTACTGTGTGATTTGTTACATCCCTCTATTTATTTTCAAGTTGTTTAACAATGGATATTCACTATTCGTTTTGTGATTTTAACTATTGAAGCATCTTATATATACTGTGGTCACGCGCAATAAACTGTATTATAGTGAGAGATCTTTGTTTAACCTCAGTAGAATAAAATGCTAACAAATCTCGATGGATATTGTTGTAAAGTGCACTTTTAATTTTGTTATTTTGATGCTGAATATGGTACAAGTGAAATATTCTCTAAAACAAATAACTGTATATATACCTTTTCTCATTAGGATTATGAATATATTTTTGTTTTTGTTTTTCCGTAAAACTACTACAAACGAATGTATTGGAGAAGTATTCATAAGATTGTCTGTAAAGCAGTAACTTGTGTATACAGAGAATATATCACATTATTAAAATGCTTTAAATAAATTAAATTCTTTTTTTGATTAGCAATACCCTTCATTCTACTTCATTTCTTGGTATTATATTTCATCGTAGATTTCTGACGAGTGCACTATTCTAGAAGCACTTCAAATTCACGATATATTTATATATCGTTCTATGCTTATTATATTTTAATGACAGGTTATTCATTTGGCGTTCCGTTTTGCAAATCCCATGTAATACCCAAGCTTTTAGCATTCTACAGAAGAAAGGTATGCATCCAGCCTATGATTTATTATCTACGCGATATCCTATGCGGAGTCAAAGATTGTTGAAAACCTTGCAAAAGTAAGAAATACTTTATCATCTGCGTTAGTTTCATTGACCATTTGACTTATCGAATCCCCATCTCTTTACGATTATTCGATACTGATATTTTGTCTGTTGTTTTTATGAAACAATCGTTAATCGACAATTAATCTTAGCTTTCATCTATAGATGTAAGTGTCACTGACAGTTTGTTTCTTCTGATGGATATACTTTTTTAATCGACTCTTTCGGTTGCGTACCAAGTATTATTATTATTATTTATTATTATTTAAACACATAAACATTGGTACAAGGAGGCACCAAGTAGATATGCGCCACATAAATCATTCGATTTGTGTGAGGGTTGTAATACTGCCCGGGTGCTCAAACCGAAGCGGGTGGTTTTCTCAGAAGGCCACACCCCGAGCCTTTGACCTAAAGGTTTGACCCACAAGGCAGTGGAGCATCGTGAGGAGATGCAGTCCCATGGTAGCCGGTGACCAACGATTGGTTCATACGCCATTTGTTCTCTCAGGATACTGGAGCTCATGTGCACCATTGGTTTGGAACCCGGTTAAAGCGCCGGACATTCTCTTTTCGTCCTCTCAGTTTCGTAAACAACACCCCCTCCACGAGAAGGCAGTGAGTAGAACTTCCCTGGCAGAGGCTATATACTTGTGGCCGTGTGAGAGCATTTCGAGAGGGGGGCGGGTTCACCCCACTCTCGGCCATACTAGGGCATTTGGGGGCCAAGTATGACATTTTTTAGATTTTAGTAATGGTAATGAACTAAATTTTTCAGCGTTGTAACCATAGCTTCCATCCATACCTTATGGTGTTAGTTATATATTAAGCTCAAGTTAGATATTTTTAAAGCACGTAAATCTAACTTGTAAGTATGTCATGAAATTTATAGAAATTTGTTACATCTTGTTTTTGGTCAGGTTAATTTTTAGCTTTATTTTTTATGCAGTGTACTTTTCACTTAGTATTTTACACTAACAATTCATTTGTTGTTATCAAACTGAGAATGAAAACATCTACTTATATGTCTGTTAGTTTTTCTACACAACACACTGATCATAGTGTCCACTATTTATTAAAACTAGCATCTCTCCTGTAACAATCTGTTGATGTGTTTGTACATGTATTGATAATGCAAGATTTATATTTCAAGTAAAATTCGTATTGACCTTTGGTTCTACAGTATTTATTCCGTTTTGTGACTGAAGGCAGTTTTGGTGAATTCGTAATTAGTCGTAATTTTGCTTAACAGATAAACCTCAAATATTTGATTGTCTTGATGTTCAGCGTACATCATATACAGATAGCTGTTTTAAAAAAGTGGATCATAAATTACTTCAAATTCAGATTCAGGTTCAAATATTGTTCCTACTTGTATAATCGAAATGATGTGAAATAAGAATTTTATAAATTATAGACAAAATTCAACTGCGTCTAAATTAAAATAATAACATATGACGGAAGAATATTCTTTTCAATGAATTTTTTCTGTTTCTACAGTTTTATATCCAAATTAGTCATTCAGAAAATAACCAGCTTTAAGATAGAACACATCGTTTAAAATTATAGCATATAAATTCAGGATTGTCTATAAAATAAAATAAAATCGTGAATGTTAGTATTTAGATTCCTAATTACAAATGCTCACTTTGGATGATTAGCTAGTTATTCATAAGTATAATTGAGAGTTCCCTTATTTTCCAAAAGAGAAATCGTTATGTGGTAAAAAAAACAATATACCCTTCTGAAATATTCCATTCCTTATGTCAGTTATATGATGTATAATCAGTGATAGCTATGACAAATAAAACAGTTTCACTTCCATGCATTTAATGAATCACCAAATGTTTGTTTGTTGTCAAATTTCTACAAACGTAATTCGAAATTCTGTGTAATGGTTACTCTAGTAATATGTCATTACTACGTGGTTAAAGAACTGTTGTTCCTGTCCATTAAAATCTGAATTGTTAGGATATTGAAAGTTGTTTGGTTTTGGTAAGAAACAGCATAGGAGTGCACAAACTAGTACACATCCATTGAATGCGATTGAAAACTAGGTATATGGGTTTATGGTTGCATGATGGTTAACACACAGAGAGGGAGAGAGTTAGTTGTACAAACCTGTATAGTTGATAAAGTTTACTGTTAAATTTTTCTTATTGTTGTGATGTAATACACGCTGACTTCGATATTGCTAACTGGTAATGGTCTCTCCTCGACTTACTGATCCGTTTGCTGGTCACTGCCATTTGTAGTATTGCTTGTCAATTCAAGTCACTGTTTTACTTAAACAACGTATAACAAACCATGCTATTATATCGAGACTATGTATTCGAATAATATATCATAACTCTGATAAGTACAATGTCAAAATAATCTGGTCTCCATTATACTCTTTAAAGTCTTGATGTTTCTGTAGCAAATACTCATTGGTAATATACAACTGACGCTAAGGTGTTTGCAATCACTTATTCTGTCCAACCTAACTGTTATAAAAATGTTTTTTTCTCACTCGAATTCTTCTTTGTTGTATTTTTGAAAAAAAAATCAAATCACAATAACAAAAGAACTTGTTCAGCGTTGGCTTATTGGTGTCCGTTGTTTGGTGAAACAGATTGGTTACCGTTGTTTGTATTTCCTTTTCTAAAATTACATAAGAATAATCTGTTGCATGCATTTGAAGTTGCAGCTACAGTACTGAGTAAGTGTTCTATAGTTAGTGAATTATAAAGGTGGATGTTGTGCATAAAATATGTAACTAAGAGACCGTTTTTATAGTTGCGTATCAAAATCGTTTCACACTCTTTTCAAAATGCATGGTCAAACGGTATTGTCAACATCTACATAATACGTCGTCAATCATAAATGTATCCATAAAATAAAGAAAACCAGTATCTCGTATTTATCTCACAATTCATATGACTTATTCCCGTAGTTATTTTTGCTAAATAGTTTGAAAATATACAAAATGTTTACCTTCAGTTTTCTATCAGTTGCATCCATTTATCGAATATCACGTCAACTTCAGTGTATTGTTGATGATAGTCTAATATACGATAGCCAACCCAGGTGGTGATCAAAAGATTTTGTTATCAACTTGGGTTTACACATCAAGGGATGGGAAATTTTGGAGTGAAATTACTAGTTAAAAAATTGAACTGGTCAAAGTAAAGTCAGCGTAATTTCATCATAACAGTGTATTCGCCATCCGTTTATAACAAAATATAGTAACTGCTTTAGAAAAATGTTTCGACCAGTTGCATTGTCTGCTTTGCTGATGAAAGTTGTGGAAGTAAACCATTGAGTTTCAAATTCAGGAGAGCAATTAATGGATGTACCTAACGAATTTTATTCATTTTCCTTTAAACTGTTAACGTTACTAAAATAATGCTACAGTTATTTACTGACCTCCTGGTTCACATTGAAAATATCATGACGCTTGCTCTGAAAAGTGATAACTTATGGATGGAGCCTTTATTGTCATTTAATTTTACAAATTTCACGTTTATTAGGAAATGCTGTTTATTTACATCGTCCTGGAAGGTGTGTTTCGATTGACATGAACTGTTTAACCTTGAAACTACTAAAGAATGTTATGATATGGGTATGACGTGGTTGTTTGGTTGTTATAGAATATGTCTAGGGTGTAGTTTATGTCAAGTGAATTGGAATGATATAACTCCAAATTATTTGTACACAGGGAATAGGTGTTTTGGTGCAGAAATATATTTATGCGTACTTTCTCGTGTGAGTAAACGATCTTGACACATGAATAGTTAACAACAAAATTACATAGAAATTCATTTTATGTTTTGTTTTCACTTATATGTTTTTGCGCACAGTCAATTGGTGCGGTACTTGGTTCGAATTTTTCCCAAACCCCCCAATTAATATTCTTTGCATGATTGAAAATATTATCGCTTACGCGGATCCAGAATTGTATCGTCATTTTGTGCAATATAATATTACGACCGAGGTAAGCGTATGTGCCAGTTGCAGCTAATCTCAGTTAATCAGTTTATTTTGTGTTTGGACGTTGTTTATTTTTGTTATTTTTTATCCCCCGTCTTACTAAATTGTGACTTGGATTTTTTTAATCGCTTCAGACTTATGCTTGGCCGCTTCTGCAAACTGGTCTAAGTGAAATATTTAATGAAGATGAATGGTTATGTCTCTGGGATTCCTTAATATGTTATTCACCTAGTCTATTACTTGCTGTGGTTGCAAGCTATTCTATCTGCGCTCGAGGACCACTTCTTATGGTTCAGAATACTGATACATTTGAAGTAAATATTTTGCTGTTGGTATTACTATGTAATGTATAAAATTATCGACATATTCCAAATGCTATTTCTGTTCAGTAAATGTGCATGCAAATACAAGCAGAAATGGATAGTATCTAGCAGTGGAGTACAGGATCTTCGTTTGGCCTACTTAGGACTCGTCAACTGGATACACCTGGATCCCAGAGTTGACGTTCACTCCAGAACTCGAACTCAGTACCGTTCGTTTCAAACATCATCGCGTTATCCACTTTGCCACTGAGTTCAGATTACAACTGTCTTGTGCAATGGCATGAAGCTCAATTCATTTGTGTTGGTTGTTTGAATCTTCACACTGATTTTTAAGACTGGAATTGATCAGTATCTGCGTATAATACTTTTGACTTAAGGCAATCCGCACATGATGCACCCATTCAAAAACAGACTGATCAACTGCAGTCCTAAACATCAATTAAAAGATCCAAACAACTAATACAAATGATGAAATAAGCAGAATCTGTTTATATGTATATAAATTAGTCAATTTACACGTCACTCATATTAAGTGAGACGATTAGGCTTTATCACAAATTGAACGAAGTTCAAAATATAGACCACGGGATTTCAGTCTTGTGTTTTAAAGGTATTGTGCTTGTCTCATCACAAGCAATTTTACTGTCCGAATGTGTATATTGAAATTTTTTGTTACATTTGTTTCTGAAACTGTTAAAATATGAAATATAGCTTATTTATTTATTTGACAGAATTTTCGTCAAATTACTTCTTAAAATCACCATCATAAAAATTATCCTTGTCATCATGATACAAGTTTTTTTATACATCGTACTTGTCTTAATTTTTGTGCGCTTTTACAAAAATCACTATTTTTCGTTTGTCAATAGGCATACTACCATAGTCAAAGTACTTTACCAATATCAAATATTATTGAGCGTGCTCATCAATTACTTACTTCAATACCTTCAGATATACATCCAGAAAGATTATTGTCTTCACTTATACAAACGGATACTCAAAATAAAAACAAAGAAAATACTTGCCCATATTTTCAACCACTGACAAGTCCATACTATCCAATAATCACTCGTTATCCTAAATTCATTGTAAATTATCATATACAAGAACGTGAACGTATACGAGAGGAAGAAAAAGAATATCTCAGGCAAAAGTAAGTTTCGTTGTATCTTGAAGCAGTCTGTCTCATTTGGTTCTTCATACTTAAATGTTGCATATTTTGTCCTTTGTTTTTTGTTTCTTCTCTCTTATGCTTTTCTCATTCATTATGATTACTTTTCGTTCCCGTCTACTTTGCCTTATGAACAATCTCATAAGGTGTGGCAAATTAAATTATTACACTCGGGTTCAACGTCCTATGCTATGGTGACCGTCTTTCTGTCAGATTACTGTTTTCTTCTAACTTTCAGTTCATTTCTGAGTAATTTTCCTTGCTTTAATTACGTAAGTTGATACTTGATCTCATTGGAATTTCCTTGTTTTAGTAATAATAATGAAATATTTTTAACTCTGTTTTGATCAAGAACTAATCAGTATGAAACTCATCGAACATCACTAATGATAAATGACTACCTTATAAAATGCGTTTAAAGTAATAAATACAACATATTTTAACCGTTATGTTGCCCTCATTGTTTATTAACTTGAATTTTTAAGTGTCATTATTTTAACCCGTTTCTTCACTTGTAACATTTCGTTGTAATTGAAATGAACAGTTTCAGTATTGAAAGAAAATAATAATTTCAGGTAGTTTAAGATACTTTACTAAGTATACTAGGAAAAACAACGAAATACAGTGAATAACTGTTTTGCTCAATTATGGATGAACACTTTGATGCCCCATATGTTTTCTGCGATAATCTGAACAAACTTTCATCTTTTGTCTAAATGTCCATACTGGTTTTTCATTTTCCGAAAGAAAAATTCCTTCTTAGTTTATGGAATGCAACAACTTGAATAGAAAATAAAAAATGGAGAAATATTATTGTTGCGTCCACCACTATTTCGAGATTTTACGATATCTATGTGTATGCTGAATAACTTGTTCAATACAGGATTAATAAGTAATTTTATTTATTTGTTCAAATTAAGCAAACACAATTTTGTGGATAGTTTATTGATACTAGAATCCAAATTATGCTATAGATTTATAATTATTTCTTTACATGAATTAAAGAAACAGCTTGGAGTTTTAGATCATTATTTGCGTAGAACTCAATTAATTGGGAAGCTGACATTATTACTAATACCTCATTACATAATATTAATCCTGATGCTTTTTTAAGTCAGTTGCCAATTAGTAGTTTTATATTTGTGTTTAAGTAGGCTTCATTTTAGAATGTGAAAGAACCACTTTCAATGTCTACTAGTTTCTAAATATCTAACTGAGAAATTGCAAGTGTTTATATTGATAGATGATTCCTATTGATGCCATAAAAGAAGTAATTAGAAATATGATATAAATTTACAATTAGGAAGAGGAATGTAAATATTCTCAACTTATTGGTTATCGAAAATGTATTGGTCAGAAATAACTATTATTTAAATTTAGTCTGAACGTTTACAATATTAAACGTTCAAAACGTTATGTACAGTCGGGTCTCGTAGTTTAAACTTTACTGTATAAAGTTGATATGTACCCACTTGATCGAAATCTATCCTTTGATAGGGAGATTGTTTTAAAGTTTAATCAGTTTACCCACTACATAATTGGACGTTAATTTACCTTAGACGAATGTATATACTAGATATCTCAGTGTCTATTCTATAGGACTTCAACACAACTCTGATCA